AAAAAATAACTCTGTTCTGCACATTTTTTGTTGGTCCATAACGGTTCTTTTCGGTTCTAGTCTTTTAGAAAGTATGACATTCAAATTCATTATAACAACGTGATTTGTTAATTAATGGGTGTGAAAAAAAGTACAAAATCATGAATATCAAAACGTGAGACAAAAACTTATGTAAAAAAATTATGTATGGAGTATTGTTTTTTATATTTATTTTCTAAAAACTCGCCTCTCCTTTTATTTACATTTACAGTAGTGGCTAAATTACCGCCACCGCCAACCGTACTGCCTTCAATTTCGACACCTTATTAAAAATTTATAATCCATCGATGGCAATCATAGAATAATATTTTATCAATTTTCAGGACGTGTTTGCCGGCGCGTCCTTCAACTTCCAATAACCTGTTAAGAACCGTAAAAAACCGAAAAGAACCGAAAAAATAATAAGGGTTCCGGTTCTCAATAAATTTCCGTTTCTTAAGAAATAACGGTTTCGGTTCTGTTTTCGGTCCTGAAAAAATACCGGTTTTGGTCCGGCTTTCGGTTCTTTTTCGGTCCGATCCGGGTCCCTGCTACAAAGTTGGAATTAGTCCAACTAATGTGCTTATAAATAGCTTGCTATGAGCGTTGTTCTGGTTTTGTCACTTCAGTATTGGGACAGGAATAAATTTCATAACTTAAATTAAATGGAAATTACTTAAACACAGATAGCTAGCGCAATGAGTAATCATTAAATTGACGATGTACATGAAAATTCTTTTAAACATATACAAATAACGTAACCCTTTACAAACGTAAAATTATTAGTATTACTTTTTCAATATCCTTGAATGTTTTTTTCGTGTTTGAAGTCTTTGGATATAGGTTTACTTACCCTGACTTTAATATCTTTGTAGCTCATTATTATTTCATCCTAAACAAATGGGTGTCTCTAAGAATTACTGTTTGACAAAATGCAAAATGTCATAATCTTAAAAAGGTACGTCCTCCCTCAGTTCCGTATTTCAGGAATTGTATAATTTCCTTTTGGCCGTTTTTAAATTAAATACCTTAGTTATGATTCTTTGACTAGGTACGCACATAATTGATATTTAAGATAAAATGCTCATTTCGTATATCAGCAACGATTTACAAACGAAAAATTCTTTAAGCGTCCCTTAATTGAATATATTAAACAAAAAGCATTATTCTATGCAGATTTCGAAATTAAATTCGCAAGAAATGAAGCAAAAGAAATGTACTACATAAAATTCGACAATGAAGAGATCGTAATGGTTTGGGGGCGAGCGCCACGATCCGCATTTTTTATCAGTTTTAAAATATATCTTCTTATTTCCTGCTCACATAAACCTATTCAAATGCCGATTTACATTGTTAGTGTAACAAACCAACGATATTAAGTTTGCTTTACGGAATCAATTTTATCTCCCCTTTGGAGACTACCCACTTCAAAACCCAATCGACGTTGTTGTACCTATAAAGTCTAAAGAGAGGTTAGAGAGGACGTTTTTTTTCCGAAATCGCCCTCGCTATTGTAAATGTCAAATGATTTTCGGAGTTTAATAGCCCACAAAGTTTGCTATACTAAAGCAATTACACAAACTTTCATAAGTATACTTTCTCAACTTTCATTATTTTCCCATTTGAAGTATTTACATAGGAGTTTCCCATAGACCGTAAACCAACGGTTGCGGGTTATTCCCGTGTGTAAACCTCAATAAAAATTTACGCACCCAATTAGTTAAAAACTATGGCAATTATCTTGGAAACGCTTTTAATTTTACTAAAACCTATTTTAATCCACATACATTCTATTAATGCTGCTTAGCAACTTTTTAGAACTGCGATAAAATTCAAATAACGGCTACTTCTACATTTAATTATTTCAACGAACGAAATTGCTTTGTCCCTAATTGACTCATAAGCATCAACGCAATGTAACAAAAGCAGCTTTATGAAATAGCCAGCGTTGTCAATTGGTTGGAATTTGCTTTAATGCTTTATGGTTCCTTCAAAAAATAAAATAGAAACGATGGGTGCTCATTACAACATTCATTACGTTCGTTGCTATGAAACGCTGTTTGCATGTAATTATACCTTTCAAGGGTATAGGTATATTATAGTACTTGTGTTTTTCAGATTTTCGCTTGTAACTTTGAAAAGACGCATCCTATCCATGGAAAGGTGTGGTATCTTCATTCCCTTCTATTCTATTCATAAGGGAAGCCCGACTAGGTAGCACTTAGACACACCAAACCCCCTTTCTTTCGCACCAAACCCCCTTTCTTTCGCAACTAGGTGCAGGGCCTGTTCCTCTGAATAAAGGATAGGACCCTGTTTAGATTAAGTTGCTTCACCCTCCCCGGTTCCAGATAACTATCGCCAAGGAGCTGATGTCCGTCTGTCTGCCTGTCCGTCTGTCTATCTATCCGTGTGCACGTTAACTTTGTTTAGAAACGTCGGAGCGCTTTGAAAATTGGTACGAATGTTCTTAAGGATATAAGAAAGGTCGCTATTGTAGACTAACGGGCTAGGCACAGTCCATAAACTGACCAAACCTCCAAAAAATAGGGTTTTTTATTATTCTTGTTACAAAGAACGTATGAAAGTCCGGTTTTCTGTGTTAGTAAAATTGTATCATATTTTTGTGCTTATATAAATCCTAATACACTAAGAAACTTTCTTATTTGTGGACTGATTTTTTGGTTAAATTGCTGAAAACGAATTTGGACGGAGTGACTAATTTTTTTCCGACATAGACTGTTAATGTGGAAATGCGCTTTTTGTAAATCGTGTACGATTACTTTTTAAACTGGTTTAATCATTCGCTCAGTTTCGTTATTTCTATTTCACAGATCATTTTTGCAGTTTGAGAAACTCAAAATGAGTTTGTTGCATTACTTTTTTTGTTTTATAAATTGTTCTCTTTACATGTGGACCCTACGATCTCTTCTATACGAAAATTACTTGACGATCGATTAGAAAAGTGCCCAAATCGTTAAATTCGCTGCCATTTGTATACTTTGAGTGCATTTATTTACCCCTATTCTAAAATTCGCTCATTTATAATTTTCTAGCATGAGCTAGGTAGTTGTTGCGATCCCCGTTTTTGGAGAAATCAAAATTTCATCAAATGTCAACGTTTTAAATCATTTAAGTCAACTTTTAAAGAAGAAGAAGAAGACGTACGTTGGAAATTTTCCGAGATAACGGCTCGGTGGATTTTGATTAAATTTTGGATATGTACTCGTATATTAGGCAGACGGAAACGAAAAATCACGGTCCGGATTTTTGAAAAAAAATTTTGTCGCGCCGCAGCGGCAACTTTTTTTTTCAATTAGCAACCTAAAATTTGTATTAGTTTATTCGAAAGACCTTAAAGTAACGTAACTGCAAAATTTTTGTACCTCCGCCATTCCGATATGCCACTTCCCATTTTTCCCGTGGAAAAACCGCACACGCTCATCGCGCTCAACGTTAAATTTTTTCGGATCTCCCTTATTTCACCCGCTACGAATTTGAAAACTTTATCGAAAAACGATACCTAACAGCTACGGGCTCCAGAAAAACTGACTCGACAGCTCGAATAACTTCTCCTCAAAGTTCAAAAATGCGTTTTTTTTGCATTTTTTACCCTTTTACGGCAACCCCAACGCAGAGGAGTGGTAAAAATGCTCACCATACCATGACCGAGGCGCCCATTCTTCCTACCCCCTCAATTGCAGCAACGTCCTTATGATTTATCACTTACAATTTATAGCATGTAAGCGCGTCGAAGTTGGAACTGACTCGAAACACAATTCGATTTGCTTACATAGCAAACAACATTCTTTCTAGAATGTTATGGAGTGCTCAAGGACGCTTCCGAATGTTCTCGAACAAACACGTCAGATTTCTCGGAAAGATTACGTCACATTCGCCTCAATGTCTATCCATATTTCTGTAATGTTCGCTACAATATTAAATCCTTTGCAGTACTTTCTACGGTCCTTCTAGAACGTACTAGGCTAAACTTTTTCAGAGCTTCCAGTACTCCAAAAAGATGTTCAGACTTTTCGAGAACCCTCTATGCCTTTATAGAATTTTCATGGTTTGGAAAAGGTCTAAAAAGGTCTGGAAGCGCTATCGAAGGTTTTCTAAAACTGTGTCATAACGAATTTTTAAGCATTTGAAGTCTTCTTGGTGTTTTTCAAAGAATTCTAGAGCTTTCCTACACCTTTCGTAAGCGAAAGGGACTTTATGTCACTGATTTTCACAAAACGTCCCTTTCTAGAAGCATTTTTGGGCGATTTCAGAACTTTTGAGCCTGTCGGGCACCGGCAAGGGCACATGAAGCTCTGAAAATTACATAAGGGTAACTCAAAAAGCGTTTTCTCATGCTAATTAGGCCCTTGCTAGAGAAATCTCGTTACTTCCCAGGTCTTTTTTGGGCTCAGAGAAATTCTGGGAATTTACAAATCTAGATATTCCATCACAAAATAAATCGTATGTTATAATAGGGCCTTGCCCAGTATGGCAATTAAATTGCCCAAACAATTGATACAGAGTGGTTAGGAATTCATGTCAAAAAAATAACGAAAGTCCATTTTCTCTTAATTCCTTTGTGACGTTTAGTTTCGATGTGTGTAATTGTATTATGTACCTATAAAACTTAGTTTGCTATTACGAGTATGAGCGCCTTAATATCAGGCCCTCATTAATTTATATTTATACGACGAATATTCATAAAACAACACTGTAAAAAAGTGAGAAGTTTTGTAAGAAGGCATGTTAACACTTAAAAGTTAGAAAGCTGAAAGTTAAGATTATGACAACGAATTTAAGAGTTAATTTAACTTGATTAGAAGTTAACTAAGTCTAGTTATTCCTATCGCGTTCAGATTGAAACCATAATTTAAGCGTGTAACGGTAGGTTGGGATTAGGCGAGATATGCGTCTGTATTTAATGCCTTAGCTATGAATTTTAAATATACTGTAAATTTACATTAACGCAATTGTTACAGAGCCACAATATTGAACACCTGGAGACTTACACTCAATATTTGGTTTCACTTCAAGTGTTCAATCCTGAAGGAAACGGACCACGAACAACGGTGCTGGTAATGACCGACGAAGGAGGTTCGTAGAAAAAAATGTAATTGAATTTATGGCAAAAGTTCGTTCGATGCACGTATCTCCACACCTCGCTTTCTTAAAATATTATTTTCTATCCTGTTGGTATTGTCTTTAAATTGGGAAACTTGAAAAATATCGAAAAACTACACTGTCGTCTAACACAATGTATCACCTTAATCGATAAACCCACAGTCGCCCTTTAAAGATTTTAAAAAATAATTATGTTACAAGCTTTTCTAGAGTAACTTTGGAAGTTTTTCCATTATTTTTCTGATTTTATGGTCTGTTTTTATGCCTTTTGTAAATTAGGTGGTGTAATGTTAAATTTACAAAAGTTGCTAATTTCCTTGTCGATAAATTACTCGTTATAAACTAGAATCTCCTGCACTTACCGCGAACAATAAATTGGGAAAATGGAATAGCTCCCGAATACTTCAAAATCGATAAAACTGTTTAACTTCTATAGATATACTAGTTGACGTTTTGATACTTTTGGTTAAGTGTCTGTTGATAGTATTCCGCACTTTTGTGCCGAAATGTGATTAAGGCGTTAACGGTATTTCGAACGAAACAGAAAGATGGGGTGTGATTTTGGAATGAGCCGATCCCATTTACAAAGTGATTTGGACGTGCAAATGGTTACCTAAACTTAATTAGTTAAGTGAACCCAATTCGAATCGTTTCATCATTATTCATTCACATCAACATTTACCAATTAGCGTACCTTTTTCATTCTCCGGAAACCTAGAAGGAGTTCTTAGAATGTTAGGAGTCATTAAAATGCAGTGCAAACCCAAAATGTTTCTGTTTTATTGAAAGCGTTTGGGATTTGACTGTGAGTATAATTACAATAATTATATTTGATTTTGTAACCTGCATTGAGTTGCTCCCCCAAACCATTGTTTAAATACCAAACCCAAGAACCGAAGGGACAGCTAATCCAAATTTGCATTACCCCTAAATAAGTAATTAGATGGGCAACCAATAGTGTGTATATTTGTTGTGTCGATCAATGCTTAGGACTATAAATAATTGAAAATAAACACTTACCTTTCTCTTTTGATTAATAAGCCGATGGAGTTGAAAGGATAGTTAGGTAATCTAAGGGTCGAAATTTTTGCAATGGTCAGCAGATAAACCGCTGAGGGTTGGTGATGCCAAACGTGCCAGCACACCTTCTCACACGTACCAGGTTTTATTTGAAACCGAAAAAATAGTAAAAGTGGGATACAATACCCCAAATTCGCCAACTAAATGCATACTCCATCTATTTAAATGACATTAAACGTTCTTCCTATTCAAACTTCAGAAAGAAATACAAAAATAACTTTATATTCTATAAAACGAAGTAATTAAAGTATCTAGTAATAGAAACTAAATTAAATTTATGTACCATTGAGCAATGGAGAAAAGGGCTATTTGAGTATAGTCAAAGATCTGTTGTAGTATGATCTTTGGGATAGTGTAAATAATAGAATAGTGAGATGACCTTATTGAGAAAAAGGGACACTGATTTGGACAGTGAGATTTCGTAGTTCTGGTCGCGTCAATTTAAAAGGGAAGCAAAAGTGACCGATGTTACAAACCTTTACCACAGGTATACAGGGTGGTGACTTGCGTAACGCATCATAGGGATTTCAATGTAAAATTCATAACATGCGTTTATTGGCTCCCCAAATTATTTTAGAGCAAAAAAAATGTATTAAAGTTTTCAATTTTTTTCATATAAAGATGAAAAATTGGAAAAATAAAACCCTTTTTCAATAATCTACGATGCCATGCAATTTTCTAAAACGAAAAGATATCCAGTTATCAATTAGCAGCAGTTCGAAATGGATTTTATGATCGACTTGGTTAGTGTCTTGCAGTTAATGGTCACTTATTCGAACATTTATTGTAAATTGTTAATTCCATGGCATGACGGATATTGGCGTAGTTTTTGTATTATAAAATTCCATGGCATCACAGATTATTGAAAAAGGGGTTTTATTTTTCCAATTTTCCGTCTTTATTACGTGGACTTGAGTATGCAAAATCCGAGGACCGCATTCTACCAATTCAGAAAATCTTGTAGATTAATAATTCGGATCCTGATGCCGGAAGCCCTATTGGTCCAATTTTGTTTTATACCCCATCCTCCCTCATCGTGAGTAAGTTGATTGTTATATATCTATTTTGATGATTATTCTAGTGACATTTATTAGTTTTTTTTTTAAATAATCAAACATAAATAAAGGTTGGCAAATGAAATTAAAACGGAAACGGAAATAAACGTCACTTGTACGGATTTAGTTTGGTTAATTTTTATGTGCCATTTACAGAGCCATTCATTTATAAGGTTTAGGTGGGTTTGGAGGTTTTCAGATGCCAGTATTGCGTTATCGTGCGTAGAAAGAATTGCCGTATCGTCAGCGAAAGTAGCGATGACAGTGCTTGCAGCTTCGGGTATGTCAGCAGTATAAATTAGGTAAAGTAGAGGACCAAGGACACTGCCTTGTGGGACACCAGATTTTATAGGATGGTAGTTAGAGTGTTCGTTGTTATACTTGACTGTGAAGAATCTGTGTCAGAAAGGTAAGATTTAAGGAGAAGATAATAATAGCTTGGAAGGGACCTTTTTAATTTATGTAGTAAGCCAGTGTGCCAGACTTTATCAAACGCCTGGGCAACGTCCAGGAACACGGCTGTACAATATCTCTTTTCCTCAAGGCTCCTTAATATTTCGTTTACTATTCGGTGTACTTGTTGTGTGGTTGAGTGGCTTTCTCGAAATCCGAATTGGTGCAGGGGCAGTTGAGATGATATATCCGTATTGTTCATTAGCCTTTTAAAGAGGAGTTTCTCAAAGATTTTTCCTAGCAATGGTAGAAGACTAATCGGTCTGTATGATGTAACGTTTTCTGGCGCTTTCCCGGGTTTGGGAATCATTATTATTTGCGCATATTTCCATAAAATGGTAGGGTTTTTAATTTATGTACCTAATTGAATTTGATGAACAAGCGCCATAAACTTAAATTTTCGGAATATGTACTATTACTTCCTTTCGCATACGTACCTTTGTATTTGATCTTCTTCATTTATTTATTTATTTATTTATTTATTTAATCAATTTGAGTTGCAAACAGGACAAACCTAAAATAGCAACTACATCGTATTGAAAAAAATATAAATCAATGGTAAATGTGACATTCCACAAGCATAATCAAAATAAAGGCTTAAACAAGGTTAACAGAGTAAATTAAAATATAAATAAAATATTAAAATAAAAATAATTTTAAACACATAAGTAATAAATTAGTATGCAGGACACAAGTGATGTGCTACTTAAATTCAACAAAGAGTAGAGGCAAACAAAAATGTAATTTCGTATAGTATGAAATAAAATTAAAATTAAGATACAGTAAAATAAATTATGTATGGCAAGATAGTAAATGCGATGCGACATGTAGAAAAGGAAAAAGGATAAATAACAAAGTTAATAAACCGAATTAAGAGATTTCAAGTAATATTTTAAATAATTTCTTTTTAAATAAATTAAAGCTAAACGAAAAAATGTCCAAATTTCGAAAAGCATTGTTATTAAACAACAAAAACATTCTATTCATTGGGGCATTATAATAGAAATTGGTTCTAGCTTGAGATGATAGGAGAGGCTGTTGATGACGAGGGACATAGGAAGGAGTAATCATTAGAATTTTGGAAAGTAAGTAGTTGTCAAGAAGGTGATTGATAATTTTATATAAGCACATAACATCAATCTTAGTTCTATGCAAAGATAATGGACAGATTTTAAAGTTGACACAGGCAGTTTTATAATCCACATATTCAACATTAAACTTTTTTGAAATAAACTTGAGAAAAGTTTTCTGAACGCGTTCAATGTGATAACAGAGCCAAAGTTAAGACGACTAAACACATACGAAAAATATAAGAATTTAAGAGCTTCATTGAATCGCATTGTCGAACCATGGCTTGTAATTGCAAAAATCTATCTTGTATATATTTCGTTATATGCAATGCAAGTGTATAAGTAACGATTGTAAATATGGTTCAGTGATTATTTGCAGCTTTGAGTATTTTATAATCAAAGATTTGCAGTATAATTTAATTTGCTTTTTCTCTTGGATACTTAGGTACCTTTGCATCTTCTTCACATTTTTTATTAGCAATTTATGAATTTTTTATTAATAATTTCCGGTTTAATTTCATTTGCTAGCCTTTATATAATGTTAATTATTAAAAAAAATTAATTATTGGCACTAAAATAATCTTAAATTGATACAATATAACCTATTCGTGGTGCAGGAGGAGGGGGTATAAACAAAATTGTATCAATAGGACTTCCGCAAGATCCGAATTACTCACCCACAAGCTTTTCTGAACTTAAATCAATTTGCAGAATGCGGTCCTCGGATTTTGCATAGTCAAATCCATCTAGGGCCTGCTCTACATTACAAAGTTATGAGATTTGTATGTTATCGGCATTGTTGATCCTGTTGACAATCTAAAGCGGGGAGCAATGTAGCAGTCAGCGAGTACTTTTTGGAAACAGTCAAAATAGACGAGGATGGAGGACGGTATATGGTGCAAATGCCATGGAAACTTTAAAGAAGAATTTAGATATCGCTCAAAAACGCATCGAAAGTGTAGCTAAGAAGCTACAACGAGATGGTCTATTTTATGACTATGGAGATATTCTTAAAGGGTGGGAAAAAATGATATTATTGAAGAGGTAACAGATAGAGACGCAATAAATAATGAAAATGTGTTTGATTCCTCATCGCATGAAAAAGAACAAGCTTCGTTAAACGACTATCTGGAAAGGGGTCCAAATTTGATAGAGCAAATTCCTTCTCTCTTGTTGATATTCAGAATGAAACCTATACTTAGGTGTTATTAATGATATTACGAAAGCATTTTTACAGATCAATTTACAGCCAAGCGACAGAGATTTTCTGAGATTTTTTTGATACAATCCGAATAGTACTCTCAAGATATATAGGCACAGAAG